AGCCCTGAGCTCCGCCAGGGCAGGGACCTGGCCGCCCGCTCCCCTGTGCCCGGGTGGTCACAGCTGGCAGGTGGTGCTCAGTAAACACTGGCACAGCAACCATGAGTGACCACGACCCATCAGCCCCCTCACATTCTGTGGTCTGGAGACAGGGGCTGGACACACTGGCCACAAGCAAAGGCTGCGGCGGGGTCGGGGCTGGGCGGGTGTCCACTCTCCAAGCCCCGAGGTGAAGTCAGGGGCAGGAAGCTCTGGCCCCCAGGGTGGACGGCGGGTCATGCCAGGCATCAGGGAACTTTTCCGAGGGTATTTTTATCTTGAGAACATCCTTCCACAGAGGGTGGGGGCAGGAGGGAGACAGGGTGTCCTTGGCCCCAGGCCCCTGGGAGCAGCAGAGGACAGAGGCCCCTGGGTGCCTTTTATAGACACTGCCCCATCCCTGGGCTTCACTGGGCCCCAGGGGCAAGTAGGCCCCAGAGGTTCTTGGGCTTTTCATGGGGCTCCCAACTCTGATCCAACTCACTGTGTGACCTGGGGCAGGTCTCTGTCCCTCTCTGGGCCTCCCTCTTACAGTCAACCTTTCCTGAGGGCCTGCTCAATGCTGGGCTCAGCTGGGCACCAGGGACTCAAGGGTGGACCAGCAAGCGCCTGCCTGCATGGGGCGCCCTGCCGAGCAGGAAGATAGCAAGTGAAGCGGCACCACAACCAGCAGGGTCAGAGCCCTCGGAGCCCCAGAGAGAGCCCAGCCTGAGGCTGACCGAAGCACAGGGGGGCACTCGGAGCCCCACAGACCAGGGTGCACACGGGCACACACTGGCCCTCGGGCAGGGCTCACTCAACTCGGAGCCTCCCTACTCCCATCGGCAGACAAGCAGGCTGGCCCTTCCAGCCACAACACTCCAGGATCCCAAGGATTCGGGGTCGAGGGGGTACTGAGAGACAGGCGGGGCGCACCTTGTCACCCTCACAGCAGGGAGGGCAGAGGTGTACTGAGTCCCTACGTGCGCAGGCTCTGAGAGATCCTGTGTCATTTCCAAGAGCTCGGACTTAACCCCAAGGGCAAAGGGGTGCCACAGAGTTTGAAAGTATAAATTCTGGGGCAACATGGCTTGGGTTCAAATCTTGTCTCTGGACCTTCCTGGGTGGCCTTGGACAAGTCATATAACCTCTCTGAGCCCCGTTTTCTCTCCCGTGAGACAGGATTGCCACTGCTATGTCTCATGGGGTCATGATGAGGTTTCAGCGAGTTAACACATGGAGCTGGGAATTTTCTGTCCCCCCAGCCCCTCCCATCACCACATTTCTGAGCCCCCAGGAGGGCCTCGACTAGAGCTCACTCCAAGCAGGAAGGAGTGAGTGGAGGGACAGGATGGAAGGAACCACAGTAGAGGGACCCAGTGAGCAAAGGCACCACGGTGCTTTTTTCTAACAGCTGTGATTTTTCAAGCTTCAACTTAATTCAAGGCTCAGACATTTTCTAAGTGCCCAGCCTGTGTACGGGTGAGCAAAGACCTGAGATAGAGTGACAAGAAACGGCCTGGGACAAGAAAGACCATGAAAGAAAAGGCTGGAAAATGTGCCAACATGAAAACGTTTCTGATGTTTTTTATCAAAGCCCATTACAGGCAAAATCAGAAGTAAATGACAAATGCTTGTTATAAAAAGAACTGATACACTTAATACGCAAAGGGTTTGTGTAGACCAACAAGAGAGAAGGACACGTGGGAGTAAGAGGAGGGCTAGGGCTGGGCCCCCACTGGGCTTGTGTGATCATGTGACCCTCAGCGAGCGCGGGCCCAGCAATGCCAACCTCAGAGTCCTCCATGGAATACCATGCATCCTTCGAGCTCAAAGCATGCCTCCTCTATGAAGTCTTCCAGGATTCCCCTAGGTCCCTGGCTGCTCTTGCCAAGCCCCACATGCTTCTTTGGCCCCTGGAACTGCGTGCCTTTCTTCTGCTGAGTGCCTGGCACTGTACCCGAGAACGTTCTGGGTGGGGCGGCCCAAGCGTCTTTGACAGCAGAGGAAGTGAGGCGCAGAGAGGAGTATGGCTGTGTCCGCAGGCACCAGGCTATGAGCCGCACAGCTGAGCCCAGCACCGGGATCCAGCCACCTCCTCCCTACAGGGCCCTCCAGGCCCGGAGCTGCATTTCTTCACAGCAGGCTGGGCCCCACGTGACGCCTCTCTGGGCAAATGCCAGCAGGACCAGGGCCTGAGCCCCTAGTCTCAGTCCCACAGTGACCTGGATACCCTGCTGGGGGAGCGCAGGGACCGGTGTCTCCTCAGCTTCCCTCTTTCGTCCTCCTCACTTTGTCAGTGTGGCTTTATTCGGGGAACAGAACATTCACTGGGAGGGCCTGGCAGACCTCTGAGGGCGGTTCACCCGGCACGGATGTCGGAGCCCTGCCAGGCCCTGCAGTCCGGGCGCTATTCAACACAGCGCACTGGTTACCGAATCACGTTTTGGAACAATGTTTCGGTAAGTATTTCACGTTTCCATTTTCTTTTGTACATGGGTTTTCTCACATGTCCAAAAAAATCATCCTGAGCAAGTGGACATCAGAGGTGTCCACGCCAGCCAGGTGCAGCCGGGGCCTCACCTGGGAAGCAGCGCGTCGCCGGGCTCTCTCTCACTCCTTCATTCGTGTGTTCCTTTGTTCCACAAGCACGTGTCCACCGAGCACCACGTGTGGCGTGACCAGGTGGGAAGGGCCCGCCCGCCCTGATGTTCATAACCAACAAGAGAGGCAGACACTTGGGGGGAAATGAATAAATGAAGAGGGTTCCAAGGCACTGCTCCTGCCTGGGGAGGTGCGGCCCAGCTGACTGCAAGAGCAGAGAGCCAGGACCCCGACGGGACAGGGCTCCGGGCAGAGGACGCTGCGGCAGGAAGGAGGGAGGAGGGTGAGCAAGGGGGCGGGAGGCGAGGTCTGGGCGGGGCAGGCTCCTCCAGGCCTGATCACGCGAGGAGACTGAGGCTCAGGGAGGGAAGGCACCACGAGGGAGGGCGACCAACCTTCTGACCCCACCGCAGCCTGACTGCCTCGCACACTTTTCCAATCCCAGCAAACAGGAACTGTGGACACTGTGACACGTGCTACTTCAGCTCATGCCATGGGTCCTTTGGAGAGTCGCAACAGACTGGGGCTCAGCGACGGCAAGCGCCATGCCCGGGGCCACACATCTGGCCCACCGCAGAGCTAGGGCGGGAATCATCTAAATCCAGATTCAGGGCTGTGGGAACAGAGAACCACGACTTGACCACACACGTCTGGCCCTGATGACTCAGGAGAAAACTCGAGTCTCTCCAAGTGGCCCAGGACCACCTCCTACAGGAAGACTCCCCGGGCTGCCTCTCCCTCATGGCTAACTGGTGGGGCAGGGGCCTGGTATCTGGACCCCATTTGGCCCCCGCTGTGCTGTGTGACCTTGAGTCACTGACCCTCTCTGAGCCTGTGCCCAAGAAGATGAGGTAGATTTGTGGGGGGGTTCCTGGTGCCTCTGCCCCAAGAACCCCAGGGAAAGTCTTCTCACACCTGGAGCTTTTGTTCAGCACCGACTGCGTGCACCTCTCAACAAGCCTATGAGACACTTCCCCGAGAGGAAGAAACAGGGTCAGTACCCCAAGGCCACAGGCCATCAGTGCCTGGGGCTGCCCCCTTCTCGGGCTGCACACCCTGGGGAGGTCACCTCTCCTCCCGACAGGAGGCTCATGCAGAG